AATAAAATTTGGAGGTGTGAACCAGTGGACTGAAGATCCCTTCTCTCTCTGCCTTTCAAATAATAATAATAATAAAGGCAGCCTTTATCTCCTGAACACAAACCTATTTGTTAGAAACTAGAGAGATTGTTCTCTTAAAGATGAGGCCTCAGTGTGCTGCCATCTGGTTTAGGGTACTGGAAAGTAGACGATAAGACACCTATCAGAAGGGCTAAAAGAACACCCCATGCCCAGTAGTGGTGAGACGGTGAAGCAGCCGCTGTGGGAGACAGCTGGCGGCTCCTGCGGAGCTAAACTTGGTCTAGCTGCTGGACTGAGTGATTGCACTCCTAGGTGATGAAACCTTGTGTTCATACAAGACCCCTGCATGTGTGTATACCACACCCACAGCCGTGTGCCTGTGCACATACATGTGAGGGTGCTTCAGAAGGTTTGTGGCTAATGTGCCTGTCAAAGTCGAGCAGTCAGGGTTCGCTCTTATTGCTGAGTTACACAAGTTCAGTGAATTAGGACACGTAAAGATAGTGGAGTTGGTTGAGTTTTTCAAGTTGCTTTCATCTACTTGAAAGGCAATCTCTCTCTGTCTCTCTCTCTCTCTCTCTGTCTCTCTCTCTCTCTTTCTCACACACACACACACACACACACACTGATCTTCCATATGCTGGTTCACTTCCCAAATGCCTGCAACAGATAGGGCTGGGTCAAGCCGAAGCCAGGAGCCTGGGAACTCTGTCTGGCTCTCCTACACGGGTGGCAGGGGCCCAAGCACTGAGCCATCATCTGCTGCCTTCCACAGTGTGTATTCGCAGAAAACTGGACTGCAAGTGGAGCAGCTGGAACTCAAGCTGACACTCTGATAGGGGATGTGGGTGTCTGCAGCAGAGGCTTAACTCACAGGGCTACAGGGCTAGCCACTGGTTGAGGTTGCTATGGTGTGTGAGGAAAGCCGCAACACTGGTCCCACAGCACCTGGCTGGAAGCAGTCAGGAAACAGAAGGAACGCTTTCTGCAGGAAGAACTTACGACAACGAGGCTCTGAGACGGCCTAGACACGTTGCCAAGGTGCAGCGTCAGCTGAGTCTCACCCATGCGGGGGGCTTCATGAGCACAACTTCTGGGCCAGTGTGACAAAGACCAGGATCCTCGCTGCGAGATGGGGACAGCTGCAGGTGTTAGATGACCTAAGGATGCAAGTGAACCTGGCTCACCGAAGCTCCTCTCTCCCTCTCCTCTTTCCTACTGAGCAAACCTAACCATGGAGCTGGTGTCCAATACCTCCTGATACCACGATCCAAATGTGGCTTAGGCCTGAGGACCACCACCAGCCACGGGGGAGGGAATACATCAGACGTGCCCTGGATGGACTGTGGGAATTCTCCACGTCATGTCAGGAAGTGTCCAGAGGGACTGTGCAGGGAATTGCCTGTTGGACAGGAACACAAGCACTAGGGGCAGACGTCTGGCCTCGCAGTCAAGACAAGGCTGTGCATAGCACTCTCGTGTCCCACTTCAGAACACCTGGATTCAGTTCCCAGCTCTGGCTCCTGACTCCCGTTTCCTGCTAAAGCAGACGCTGGGAGGGAGCAGGTGAGGACTCAAGTAACTGGGCTCCTGTTACCCTTTTGTGAGACCTGGGCTGAGTTCCCAGCTCCTCTACAACACCCCCCCACACCCCTCCGCCAAAACATTTAGGGAGTGAACCAGCAGATGGGTGCTCTCTGTCTCTTAAATAAATGCATAAGTAAAAGTTATTTGGATCATGCATAACTGGTTGCTCTGGTGAGGCCTCATCTGAGACAGCGTTCAGTATGCTTCTGCAGGTTGAGACTCTGTTGGTTTGTTGGGGTGGCTGATGCAGACCAAACATAGAGCTGACCCAAGCTGGCAAGAAAGAGGTGATGGTTGTACCATGACAGGCAAAGAGAAGCAGACACACGAAATGTCACAGACTTAGCCTCTGCAGCACCCATGCTGCAGGCACTGCAGGCTATCAGCCTCTTGGGCAGCCTGAAAACCCACGTGGCAGCATTTCCCCAGGGCTCTGTGAGATTCCTCTCCCTAGCTACCACACGCATCCTTGCTAAGAACAAGGCATGACTTAAGATAATGTGTGGCTGCAATCTGTTCCTTGGAGCCAGCAAAGCCTTGCTGAGACAGGAAAGGAGCCTGCAGACACAGGGAATGTGAAGCAGAGGCAAGAGGAGAGGCATGTGAGGCCCTTGCGGTAGGCTCCTATTGATACCCTGATTCTGAAAACTTCCCGGTTTGATTCCGGAACATGGTGTTCCCAGAGCTCTCTTCCTTCCTAGAATAATCCACAGTTGTATGGATCTGGAGGGAATTAGCACTCTTTTAGCACATTAAAGAGACATGAGAAAATGGAGGCCCATAAAAAGGTTTTGCTTTGGGGTCGGTGCTGTGGCGCAAAGCCCTAGCCTGAAGTACCGGCATCCCATATCGGCACCAGTTCTAGTCTTGGCTGCTCCTCTTCTGGTCCAGCTCTCTGCTTGGCCTGGGAAAGCAGTAGAAGATGGCCCAAATCCTTGGGCCCCTGCACCGGCGTGGGAAACCTGCAAGAGGCTCCTGGCTCCGGGCTTTGGATTGGCGCAGCTCCGGCCACCACAGCCATCTGGGGACTGAACCAGTGGATGGAAGACCTCTCTCTCTGTCTCTACCTCTCTCTGTAACTCTTGTCTTTCAAATAAATAAAAATAAATCTTTAAAAAAAGGTTTTGCTTTTTATTATGTTTCCATCCAATTTTCTTTTCCCTACCATTTAGTTGTAATGTTCTTTTGTTTGTTTATTTACCAATTTTTAAGGTTAAGTTTTTTTTAAAGATTTATTTATTTATATGAGAGTTACAGAGAGGCAGAGGCAGAGGCAGAGAGAGAGAGAGAGAGAGAGAGGTCTTCCACCTGCTGGTTTACTCCCCAGATGGTTGCAACGGCTGGAGCTGTGCCAATCCGAAGCCAGGAGCCAGGAGCTTCTTCCAGGTCTCCCACGTGGGTGCAGGGGCCCAAGGATTTCGGCCATAATCCACTGCTTTCCCAGGCCATAGAGAGTTGGATCGGAAGTGGAGCAGCTAGGACTTGAACTGCTGCCCATATGGGATGCTGGCACTGCAGGCAGTGGCGTTTACCTATGATGCCACAGTGCTGGCCCTGAGATTTTTTTAAGTTTAAAAATTGTTTAACTTTATTTGAAAGGCAAAGAGAGAGAGAGAGAGAGAGAGAGAGAGAGAGAGAGAGATTGATTGATCGTTGGAGCTCCCTTTTACTGGTTCACTTCCCAAATGCTGGCAAACACCAGGGCTGGGTGAGGCTGAGGCCAGGAGTTGAGAACTCAGCCTAGGTTTCCCACATGGGTGGCAGGGCCCAGTTACTTGCTCCTTCACCTGCTGCCTCCCAGGAAGCAGGAAGCTGGTCTATGGAACTGGAGCTTGGACCTGAGCCCAGATACTCTGACGTGGGATGCGGGCATCCCAACCATCACCAAATGCTCCCCCCGACTGTGGTGTTCTTGGGTAATCTGCCTCGTTTCTTCCTCCAGACTCCTAATTCCTGGCTCTAGTTATTTTTGGGTCCATTCTTAAATTGTACTCATCAGTGCTGAGTTCTCTCTCATTGACAGGCTTCCTGTTAGCTATAGAACGTGTAGTTTCTGTTTCACCCTGAGGCCCTGCACAGCTACAATGGAATCTGCTTCCCTTCACTGACCCTAGTATGTCTAACTCAACTGTTAGCATCATCATTTTGTCTTAAAAGGTTCCTGTGTTAAACTTTTTGTAATTTCAAAATATTTCAATCATATGGAAAAGCATAATAATGTAACAAATGTCCATATTCTCATCATCCAGACTTAATTATCTCGCCATGTTTGCTTTAGACTTAAAAAAAGTATAGATATTGTTGGGAGTCCCCTGTCCCACCCACCTTCTTCCTAAGAGGCAGCCACTGTTCTGAAGTCAGCTTCTCCCAGGAGCTGACCCCCAGGCAGAGTATCTCAGAATACTTTCTTAGACAGTTTCTTCCTAGGTGCAATCCATTGCCTACTGAAAGGGACAAAGGTGTGTGGGTGTATGGCGGGGATGTAAGAAGTAAGGGAAGCCCTGGTGCCACAATCCAGCCTTTCTCAGCCACTCAGCAAAGCCACAGAGAGTTCGTTTTCTTTGTGCCTTCCAACCCCGAGCACCCTTGACTTCACAAAATAAAACTGCAAATCAGTGTTTCCTATTCATTTATGCAAACACCAAAAGGATTTAAAATCATGCTTAAACAATGCTCCTGGTTCATCCTAGAACAGACCACAGACTTCTCTTTTTACTAATGAGCAGACGGAGAAAAATCCTAGAGACATGGAAAGATCAGTAGGATTTTTATGAAGAATCAGAATTAGTCACTTGTAAAGCAGACCCCAGGGAACAGAAAAATTGAGAAAGTGTCATGATGAGATTCAAAGAGATCCTGCTAGATTTCATATTTCAAATAAAAAATGGCATGGAATTTGAGAGCCCTATGGCTATTGTTACACTATAGTCAATTCAGATCAGAGATCATTCAACCAGCAATTCCATCTGTCTAAAATATACTGGCAAAAAGAGTAACTTTTCACATGTGGGAGACCAGGGATGTTTTCAAAGGTAATCCTCTACTATTTTTCTGATTGAATCCAATTCCGTATAGAAATAAACATTAGGAAAATAAGTAAGAAGACACGTTAGAGCTAGCACATTTAAGAAGCAAGTGGGATAAGGAATAGGGAAAGATCACATAGAATCCACAGTCCTTACATTTAGATTTTTTTTTTCTTCATTAAGCTCTTAGAAACTTTGGATCTTTCCTTATAGGAACTTGTACATTTATACAAAGCACGATACTGGCATACAATTTCAGGATTCACAGGCTCCGTGTAGCCCCAAAGATCAGAGCAGCCTGAAGGCTCTAGTTGTTCATGAGCCCCAGAGTAAGACCTCACTTGGAGAGAAGCGTGGAGAACTTACATTGTACAGCGGGATCGTCTTCATCACCTTGTACTGTTTAGTGGGGTCCATTTTATACAAGTGACGGTCAGTGACAAAAATTGCTCGGTCTTCCACCTTACTAAATCGATTCACCTGTAGGAAAATAAAGCAAAATAAAGCAATAAACCACAGTGTCTCAGCACATCGCAAAGAAAATCGGATTATCTGCCTGGAGAACCCCAGGGCAGAGGTGACTGGCTATGGAGACAAATGCTCCAATGAAGTGGCCAGTGTGTGGCCACTTTGCCGGATGCCAGGGGATTTCAAAGGAGCTGGAGGTCCCAGATGTGTGGAATCTGGCAATGGCGATTTCACAATTCTGCCATGCAACTGGAAACACACAGAATGAAAGGACTTAAAAACATATGACCTGACACCATCAAGAACGTGAGGAGACATTCACAGAATGGGACAAACGTTTTGCAAGTCCTGTCTCTGAGAAGGGATGTGCATTTGGAACATACAAAGAACTCATAACACAACTCACTAGTTAAAAGCAAAGAAGCCAGTTTTGCAGAGGAGTAAGAGAAGTCCCTGGTTCTAAGAAGCTGAGGCTAGTATATGGGGCTAAGACAGATAAGTAACTAGTAAGTGAAAACATAAGATCATAAAAGAAAATAAAACTAGATAATGAAACTGGGAAAGAGTATATGTGTGTGTGTTTCTTAGTAGAGTATCAATTTATGAGACAGAAGGTCTGAAAATTTCCATGTTTTCCAGTAGATCTTTCTTGAGACAGAATTACTTGCAGAACATTTTATAAGTAAGTGGTTAGCTACTTGTTAATGCAGCTATTTCAATCTTAGGCTTGGGTCATCTTTTATTTATTTATTTTTAAAGATTTATTTTTATTTATTTGAAAGAGTTAGAGAGGTAGAGCTAGAGAGAAAGAGAGGTCTTCCATCTGCTGGTTCACTCCCCAAATGACCACAATGGTCAGAGCTGAGCTGATCTGAAGCCAGGAGCCAGGAGCTTCTTCTGGGTCTCCCACATAGGTACAGGGACCCAAGGACTTAGGCCATCTTCTACTGCTTTCCCAGGGCATAGCAGAGAGCTGGATTGGAAGAGGAGCAGCTGGGACTTGAGCCACTGTTGTGTTATATTTTAATCAAGGCATCTAGCACTAAAAATTTTTGAATCATTGTAGAGCTATGTTTCTTAGTGACTAGAAGGAAAAAGAAGGCAAACAAAACAAAAGCAAAAACCCTGAAACCCCTCCTCCAACTAGAATAGAAGGGGTGTGTGTGTGTGTTTATATATATTCCCCCAGACCCTTTCCCAAGTTCTTATTCTCTACATGCAAACGAAGAAGTTAGAGATTAATTTGAAAATGTAGTTTGTCTCAGTGGGATACCATACTAACTAAGATCAATAAGACATGATATGGCAGGATATATCTGCAGAGGTAGGATAAGACAAATTAAAGCTCAAAATGTAGTTTAAATTTTATTCAATCTTCTCCCTTTTGCCTCATCATTTTAGAAATCAGTCTGGTCATTCTTCTGGCATAGGTTAAAGCTGCTGCCTATGATGCCAGCATCCCATATAGGTGTTAGTACGGGTACTGGCTGTTCCACTTCTGATCCAGCTCCCTGCTAATGCTCCTGGGAAAGCAGTGGAAGATGGCCCAAGTCCTTGGGCCCCTGCCATGCACATGGGAGACCCAGATGAAGCTCCTGGCTTCAGCATGTCCCAGACCTGGCTACTGCAGCCATCTGGGGAGTGAACCAGCATATGGAAAATCTCTCTGTCCCTCCCCTTCTCTCTTTAACTCTGCCTCTGGAGTAAATAAATCTTTTTATTTTTATTTATTTATTTTTTTTTTTGACAGGCAGAGTGGACAGTGAGAGAGAGAGAGACAGAGAGAAAGGTCTTCCTTTGCCGTTGGTTCACCCTCCAATGGCCGCCGCAGCCAGCGCACTGCGGCCGGCACACCACGCTGATCCAATGGCAGGAACCAGGTACTTATCCTGGTCTCCCATGGGGTGCAGGGCCCAAGCACTTGGGCCATCCTCCACTGCACTCCCTGGCCACAGCAGAGAGCTGGCCTGGAAGAGGGGCAACTGGGACAGAATCCAGCGCCCCGACCGGGACTAGAACCTGGTGTGCCGGCGCCGCAAAGCGGAGGATTAGCCTAATGAGCCGCGGCGCCGGCCAATAAATCTTAAAAAAAGGAGAAATCAGTCATTTCTTTAAACATTTCCTTTATAATCAAAGTATATTTTTCAGTCTTCAACTTGACAAAACACCGTGTGTGCAAGCGAGAGTCTATGTGATGAAATGCCCTCAACCACAGCAGCCTGCACCTGTGCCTGCGCCTGCCGGGGGAACGGAGTCAGGTGTGGGCAGTGTGCCGCCGTCCATATCTCCTGAGTGTCTGCTCTGCACAACTCAGTCTTATGCAGAGCTTTGTGAGACACAGGGTTCCACAGACAGGTCAGTTTGAGAAATTGCAAACCACAGCCTCCACAAGGATATTCGTAACTTGAGAGTGTTTTTAAAGGCTGAGAGAATCCTGTATCTAAAGAGCACATTTAACCCAGCATTTCCAAAATACACTGAGAAATACAGAAATGTTTGTCAACAGACATCTGTTGCTATTCGATAGGACACCAGTGCTCAGTCACGCTGGGGAACACTCAGCCTCGTTTAAAGCAACCTTAGAGTGTGTGGAACAGAGGGCGTCCAGAATGCAACCTGAATAACCCCATCTGCTGTGCAGGCATCTGCAGACGCTATAGAGAGGGCTGAAAAGGCTTTTCACAAACTTTTACAAGTTCAGAGTCAAAAGAGGTAGGCCCCGTATCCTGTTTATGACACGCCCCGACTTAATCCGAGGACCGAGAGAGAGAAAGCCCTAAAAGTGGCAAGTGTAAGAAGCCCTGCTTAGAAAGATTTCCTTTCTATTTATGCAAAAAAAGTAATTTTTAAAATAAAATACATCACAAATCCTTGCTTTCTGTTTCAGTAACTCAAATCATCCTAAAACACCAAAGCAGAAAGGGAAGTACGTTGGGGAGTGAAGTGGAAACCTTAAACTGCATTGACTTGAGCCATATCGAAACAGCAAAGAAAAAACTCTACGTACATAACGTAAGCCCGGAGTTACTTAATATGGTCATGGCATAGGAACACTATCTCAGTCTTCCAGCTAAGTTTATAAAGTCAAAAGAAAAAAAGTGAGAGAGAGAACTGGGGCACAGACTCAGCACTAGGTAACTAACGCCGTCCAGTGTTCACGGATGTCCTCAGTGTTGCAGCAGGCCAGAGATGAAGCTTCCCTGGGGAGTTGGGCCAGGCGGAGGCACATGAAGGGCGAAAGTGGCCATTTATAGGTGGCTCCCGCCTTCCAAGGCGTAACGACAGTTAATGAAATTGGCCGTTTCAACAAGAATCACAGCATAAAGCGGACTTTGCTCAAGTCTTCTCCAGTTTACCGTGTGCTCGCTGGCGAGTGTAAGCTTCGAGAGACGACGCGATCTCAGCTGAGCTGTGAAGGAAGGGGTGCTTCCTCTTGAACTTAGAAACACAGGACCATGAATAGGAATTTCAGTTTCTAATCCTGCAGGACCCAGAGAGGGACATGCTCTCTGCCAGGCATAAAACTGTCTTCACTGGAAGCCTAGAGACCCGGGCTTTTGTGCGGTCGGTGACCTCATTCACAAAGCCATTACTCTCTTCCAGCAACTAACTGGAGCTTCTACATGTCCTGATGCCAGAATGGATGGACACTTGACAGTGGCCACAGGACTCACTGAGATGGCACACCGGCATCTGCTATCTTCACAAACTGGCGCTGTGGCTGATACACACACTACTGTCTTTTGTGTTGGGTGTGTAAACCTGGCTGGCAAAGTCTCCTCCCAACTCATCAAGTCTAGGCACACTTATAGAATAGAGTTTCCAAATCTACATTCTGGAGTGTGCCAAACACCTCGAGATACAGCCTTTCCTTGATTGCAGTCTAACTTTCAAATCTACTGCTCTCTATTTTGCTAAAAAGCCTCTATCACACACTGAGTTGAGCTCTCCTTCCTTAATGTTCAAACACTGTGATGCCATAAGAAACATGTACAGGTTCAGTATCCCATATCCAAAATGCCTGGGATCAGACAGGTTTCAGATTCTGGAATATTTGCACAGGCTTTACCAGTTGAGTGTCTCTAATCTGAACATCTGACATCTGAAACATGCTGAGTGTCATGTTAGTGGCCAAGAAGTTTAGGATTTCAGAGCAGTTCTGATTTTGGATTTTCAAATTAGGGATGCTTAACCTGTGTTTGGTCTTTGTGCCCCGTCCCTAAGATAGAGTTCGCCCAGCCCTTGGAATTTTATGAGTAATAGGATTATCTTTTGTAGGAATATTTAGTCTTAGTTCCAGCCTTCTGACACATGAGCTTCTAAGACCCTGGGGAACTATAAAGCAAAGATGGGTCTTCTGTCCACGAATGAGGTGACTGCTGATGGGGGCTCCTAGTCACAGGATGGGGTCTGGTGTCCAAGACCAAGGCCTGATTACAGGGCTGCAACCTTCAGCTCTACTCCGAGCCATGTGGTAAGGGGAGAGGGAGAAAGGAGTAAAGTCATTGCCAAAAGCCCATGATTTAACTGCTCATGCCTTTGTGATCAAACCGCCACAAACCCTGAAATCAGGGGTTTGGAGAGCTGCTGAGCTGGTGAGCACATGCACAGGCTGGGGTGCCACCCCTGCCTTTAACTGTGGCGTTTGGGCCGCTGGTCAGGCTTCAGCTTATGATTTTTCAGCTTGTTTTCTGTTTGTCCTGTTTGTTCACTGCTCCTGTTTCCACATTTTCTGCCTTCTTTAGCAATGAGATTTTGAAAGATTCCATTTCACTTCCTGTTATGACATTAGTTACAACTGTTTTGCTATTTCATCATATATATATATATATATATATATATATATATATATATATATATATATGGTTCATCTGGTCTACTTTTCTATAGTGCATTCTGGAACATCCTAGATGCTCTGTTGTCTTCTCACGTGTGCTGTTTCTGACAGAGATAGGGTGCATCCTTATCTTTGCTCCTCTGTGTTGTCTCTTTATTACTGGTACTGATCAATCTGATCACAGTGTGCCTTGGGATAATTATTTTGTGTTTCTTGTGCTTGGGGTTTGTTGAGCTTCTTGGATCTGTGCACTTATTGCTTCCGTCAAATCTGGAAAGACATTAGCTAGCACTTTTCCCGACAATTTCCACTTCTCCCTCCTCTCCTCCCTCAGGGACTGCATGTATTCTAGATTATACAGCTTCCTGGTGCTCTGTACTGAGTCTGTTTTCCCTCTCCCTTTCTGGTTAACGCTGGCCAGTTTTGCTGCTGTCTTCAATTCACTAATTTTTTTCTGCAGAGTCTAATCTGCTGTTAACCTCATGGAGAATATTTTTTTTTTCCTCATTGTATTTTTCATCTTTGTAAATTCAGGGCAGTTCATTACAAAACCTTCCACGTGTTATTGATCTTTCCCCTTTCTGAAGACATAGCATACCATTTTAATAATGGCTTTAGTGACACTGTTAGTTTTTAATCTTGGTGAATGACTGACTTTTCTTCTCATCATGCACTGTAGTCTGCTGTCGCTCTGTATGCCTGGTAATCTGGATCGGATGCCACACATTCTGAATTCTACCTTCCAGGTGCTGGAGACTTTTGTATTCTTACACTTCTGAGCTTCCTTTTGAGATGCTGATAGAATGAGCTGGAAACCACTGGATTCTTTCCTGTTGTGTCTCAAAGATTTGTTGGGCAGGGTTGGAACAGTGTTCGATCAAGACCACTGTCCCTGCAGCATCCATGGCTCCGGAGGTCCCCAGTCTGACCGGTGGGGAGGCCCCACCTGCAGCCCCGTGTGAGGCCTGGCCTGCTGACCTCTAAGCCTTTTGGGTGGTGCTGTCCCCAGGCTTGAGCAATTTCTTCAGATGCATTTTCAAAGTAGACTTTCTTTTCTTTTCTTTTTTTTTTTTTAAGATTTATTTATTTATTTGAAAGTCAGAGTTACACAGAGAACATAGGAGAGGTAGAGAGGTAGAGAGGTAGAAAGGTAGAGAGAGAGAGTCTTCCGTGTGCTGGTTCACTCCCCAGATGACTACAACGGCTGGAGCTGCACTGATCTGAAACCAGGAGCCCGGAGCTTCTTCTAGATCTCCCATGCGGGTGCAGGGGCCCAAGGACTTGGGCCATCTTCTACTACTTTCCCATCCCATCGCAGAGAGCTGGATCAGAAGTGGAGCAGCTGGGACTCGAACCGGTGCCCATATGGGATACTGTCACTGCAGGTGGTGCCTTTACCTGCTACGCCACAGTGCCAGCCCAAAGTAGAGTTTCTAAAGACCTCTGGAATTTTCTCTTGTTGCAACTCTTTCTTCTCTGATCCTCTGCTCTGCAAACCCTAGTAGCCTCGCAGCCTTCATTGCTCTCTTTAACTAAGGAGTAGACTGGGGCACGGCCACTGCTCCCCTGTCCCTGCCACAGACGGGAGAGTCTGCCTCGGCAGTCAACCGGCTGCTGTCATCTCACGTCTCGTGTTTCAGGGATCACTGTCTTCCCTCGCCTGATGTCCGGTGTCTTGAAGACCATTATTTCACTTTGCCCTTTCCTCACCTACTGTCCTTTTCCCATTCACTTTTCACAGCCACATGGTATTCTTGTGGGCACACACACAATTCAGTGGATGGGTTACCAACCATCCACCGATGTATGCTGACATCTTCTTCTGAGTTTTTTTTGGTGTTACAATATACAAATATATATGGGGTCAACTGTGCATGTACATTTGCAATGTACAAATATATGTGTGTTTAATTGTGTACATATATACCTTTGGATATCTGTGCAAATATCTTTTTTGGATAAATGCTAAGCTGTGGAATTCCCAGATTAAGTAGCATGGGCATTTTAATCCTGATGAATTCTCCAAAGGACTGTATCTTATGCTCCCAACAGTGTTTTCTTATATCTTTGTAAATACTGGTTATTATCAATGTTTAAATATTCACATTAAATGCCATTAATACAGATGAAAAACTGATTTCATTATTTTGATCTGAGTAATACTGAAGAAAAAAAAAAGAAATTACATATTGTTTTAAAGATCTGAAGTGATGAACCTGTAAAAGGACCTAAACTTAGACCTTTGTTAGGAGGCGATTCTGACAATTTTCTTAATTCTTCCTCTAGGTATGTCCATGTCTCTTGTTGCATCAATCTAGGCAATATTTTTCTTAAGCTCACCATTTCTGTAATATTTTAAAATTGGGATAATTTTACAAAAAATGCTCTTTTGTAAAAAATTCATGAGTGAGCAAGTGAGCAAGCGCACGTGTACACACCAGACACAGATCTCCCCGAATGCCCTCAATGGCAGGAAGCAGGCTGGGACTGACCAGAGGAGTCGGGCCCTCACTCTGGGTCTCCCACATGGGTGGCATCACTGCTGCCTCCTGGGGTGCACATGAGGAGGAGGCTGGAATCAGGAAGAATGCTGGGACGTGAGCCCGGCACTCTGAGAGGGCACGTGGGCACCCCAAGTAGCATTTCAACTGCAGTGCTAAACACCTAGCCCCACAAAATGCTCCTTTATAATTTTTTTCAATTTCTTTGCTATTCTTTGAAACAAGCTTTTTAAAAGGTTTTTAAAAGCCAATGTGTCACTTGCCTTCCACTGCCCACTGCTAGCTATCATCTGTGGACAGGTTGCATGTACAGCACGTGTGTAAAGGTCCCACCTTCCAAACAACCATGTGGGCTACTCCTCTTTGCCAAACTACATTCTTCCCCACCTCAGTCCTATTTTTTTTAAATAGCGATAACAGACATACAGAATGCACTCAGTGACCATCCCATACCAAGCCCGTGTGCAGGCACCAGGGAGGACACACACAGAGCAAAATACAGGTCCCTGGCCTCCAGGGGATGTCCATGCTGGTTTGACAGAAATGGTTTCCATACAGATTCCTTTGCCTTCGGAAGGCTTTGCAGCAGTCATTGCAATGAGGTCTGGGACGGACAGGCAGAGCTCTCTGAGGGAGCAGCTGGCTGGGGATCTACAGCTGGCTCACGGTGGGCCTGCCCAAGTGGGCGTGCTGCGAGCTGGGGTTCTCCCAGATGGTCTGTCACGAGCTTGCCTTACCTTACGGACATGACAGGAGAAGAGCACGTTCATGTATTTGTCCTTCCGCTTCAGCTCATTAGCAACAGGGACAAATGTGCCTGATGTCTGAGGTGTATCTGGCTTCTGGAAGCAGAAGGAAAAGACAGAGAATGATTATGCTTAGCAGTTTATTTTTACTCATTTTTTCCCCAAAGATTAATTTGAAAGGCAGAGATATATAGATAGAAGGGAGGGTGTGAGAGAGAGGGAGAAAGAGAGATATCTTCCATCTGTTGGTTCACTCCCCAAATAGCTGCAACAACCAGGCAGAAGCCAGGAGTCAGGAGTTTGTCTAGGTCTCCCATGCAGGTGCAAGAGCACAAGCACCTGGGCCATCTGCTGCTGCTTTCCCAGGAGCATTAGCAGGGAGCTGGATCAGAAGTGGAGCAGCTGGGACTCCAACAGGCACCCATATGGGATGCTGGCACTGTAGGCAGTGGCTTAAACCTTCTACACTACAGTGTCAGCCTCTACTTATTTTCTAAATATTGATTTTAGATAGACAGACAGGCAGATGGTTGGATGGACAGATAGTGAGCAAGCATGCAATCCCATTTACTGATTCAGTCTACAAATGTCTCTAAAGGCTGGGGCCAGACTGGGTTGAGGCAGGGAGCCAGGAACTCAGTCCAGGTCTCCCATGTGGAAGGCAAAAACCCAATCACTTGAGCCATTGCTGCTGCCTCCCAGGGTCTGCATCCACAAGGAAGCTGGAGTCAGGAGTAGAGCCGAGTATAGAACCCAGGCACTGCGACATGGGACGTGGACATCTTGACCAGGTCAATGTCTGCCTCCCTTCCGAGCACTTTAGGTGAACAGGCACTTGCAGTTTGCTTTACAACTATCTTTTCATGGTTTCAGACATCTGCTTTCCACCCCCCACCCCCACCCCAATGGTGAGCTACGAGAGGGCTGGTATAATATCAGCCCATGATGCTTTAAGAGTAGGGAGTGGGAGGGGCGATGAAATGTGGCTTCAGGAATAATGAATATAAAGACGGCAATTGAAAACCTGCTGTGGAATTCTGGAAGGGGAGTTTTCAATGGCGGCAGACCAGGTTACAGAGTGTACCTCGTACACCTTGGCACAGCAAAGATGGCCCTTTGCAAAGTAGGGAAGATATCAAATACTGTGCACTTAGAAGCAATAACACCTTCTAATTTAGTATCTTTCCCAGGAACTATTTAGTTCTGAAGGTGTTTTCTTTCTTTTATGAGTTCTTGGAGATAAATTCTTGTCTTGTGAAAGGGAGCAGGAGCAGATTCCATGTTGTTCTCTTGGACTCACGGAAGCCAGATAGTTGCCCTCCCAGGCCCTCTGGAGGCCAAGGTCAGCTCTGTGGCCCTTCAGCATCTCCATGGCTGCAACCTTGGCCCGGACCTGTGGCAGATCTGAAGTGGGTAGGCTCTTGATAATCAGGGATGCTCTCCACCTACAAATATGTAAACAAAATGTGTTAAACTTTAGGGATGTAATCCCGTTCATTCTCAACAATAACTGAAGCTACTGCCATCAAGCAAAATAAAGCCAAAGCTGCACTAAGAAAAAGCTAAATCCCTCCAAAATTATAAAAATATACACAGAAATTGCTAAAATAGATATTTTGTAAAACTTACTTTGGACTTTAATAATGTTTATATCTAGAGCACAGAAAATTTAGATTCATCTCTCATTCATTCAACCAATATTTTCTTTCTTAAAGATATAGTTATTTATTTGAAAAGCAGAGTGATAGAGAGAGAGGGAGAGACAGAGAAAGAGATCGATCTTCCATCTGCTGGTTCACTCCCCAGATAGTTGCAATGGCTGGGGCTGGGCCAGGCTGAAGCCAGGTGCCTGGAACTCCAACTGAGTCTTCCACATGGGAGACTCACACAGTTGGGCCATCTGCTGCTGCTTTCCCAGGTGCATTAACAGGGAGCTGGATGGAAAGTGGAGCATCTGGGACTTGAACCTGCAGTCATATGGAATGCTGGTGTTGCAGGAGGTGGCTCAACCTGCTGTGCCACAGTGCCCGCCCCCAGCTAATATCTTCTAGGCACTTACTAAACACCAGGCGCTGTTCTGGGCAGTAGAGGCAGAGCAGTAAGCAAGACAGGCAAAGCTCTTTTCTGTTAGGTGCTTATGTTGTATGGAGGGGTGACAACAAAATACCCAATGAGCAGATGTACTGTGGGGATGGGGGGGGACAGGCGCATGAGGAAGACGGGACAAGAGGGACAGGGAGTGCCGCAGAGGGAAGTAGCGGCTGTGGCTTGGAGAGGCACTGCTGAGAAGGAGCCTCGAGCAAGGACTCACAGGCAGTGAGGGCGCCAGTCTCGCAGAGATAGAGCAGGAGCATCTAGGAAAGAGAACCCAGCAGGTGCCATGGCTCTGAGACATGAGTTTGTCAGGAGCGTTAGAGCAGCAGCCAGGAGGCCTGTGTGCTTCAGCGGCATAAGGAAGGGGGCAAGCACAGAGGCAGAGCTGGGGCAGGAATCCGCGAGGCCAGGAGGCTGCTTCCAGGACTCTGAGTGAGACACCCCAGGAAGGTTCTGAACAGAGGATGCAGACCGACTCAGCTTCGGAAGGCTTCCTGTGACTGCTGCAGGCTGCAAGCAGAGGCCACTGCCATAACGCACACCTAGAGGAAGGTGGCTTGAATCAGGGAGGAGGCTGTGGAGCCGGAGATAAGCATCACATCTGGATTTGTTCTAAAGGGAGAGCCATTAGGATCAGTTGACAGATGAGTTGTGAGGGCGAGAGAAGATCTGAAGATGACTCCAAGATTTTTTTGTGCCTGAGCAACTCAAAGTATAAAGCAAAAATAACAGTTCCTTAATGCTCTCAGCAGCACCTGAGCCCTGCTGACACCAATGTCCTCTGTTCTACCATGGAGCTTGAAGCAGAGCCCGGAAGCAGACCGCGAACCTCCTTCGGCCAAGTGAATTCTCCAGGCCAGTGGTGCTCGGATGCGCCCAGGGAACACCGGAATGGCAGCAACTGAAAATCCCCACTGACATAATCAGGAAAGTATAAAAAGAGGGCAAAATCGGCAACTCTATCAGGAAATGGAAATGATAATAAAGTGGGAGATGTGAAGACTTTCTGGGAGACAGGAAGCAGGTAGACTGGGCAGATGGAGAAGCAGCTCCAGGTGGCTCAATCCATTCTGCAGAAGGAGAGAGACCCTGAGGCAAGAGTGGGATTCTCGACAAAATCCCAGGGATCCCGAGCCTGTCGCAGCGGGGGCTGGTAGCAAGGGCAGGAGGTGGCGGATTTCAGGGTGGGAGTTGTGCCAGCTGCACGCACGTGGAAGGGCTGACCATGGTCGGGTGGGACATCTGCTGCTGCAGAGGGTCCGAGACGGCAGGCTGCCCAAACGACCACCATGACAAAGTAAGAGCCCAACACAACAGTGAAATCCTTTCCTCTGCTTTTTACAGCCAGCAACTCTCCAGCGAGACACACTGTCCCAAGCTCATTCCATAAGAGGCTGCAAGAGTGACAGGCTTGGAGCAAAGCCAAGGGCAGTGGTGATAGGCAGGCCCTGAGACACTAAGCGGCTTGCTAAGCACCTGCCCCAATTAGCCCTTGAGTTGCGAATGTCATTACTGAAGCATAGAGTCCTTGCTCTGTCTGCTGATCAATTCCCAGCCTCTGGGCCTGGTCACCCTGTCCCTTTTCACTTCTCATGGTGGCCCAGGATAAGGTCTGTACCCGATAGGCTCCAGAGGCCCACAGCTCGGCACCTTGCCAGGCCTCAGAGACCTGACCTACACAACCCTGGTGAGAGCCATGTGGCTTTTATCCTGATCCAGCAAACTGTCGCCTGTAAGTACGAGCAGCTGGGCATGACGGAGGCACAGTGAAAAAGAATGAGTGCAAGGACTGGGAGTGACCAACATGATGACACTGTTGCACACTGAGACTGGAAAGACGGAAAGAAAAAACCAAAACCAGCCCAGCAGCCATGGACTCCCTCAATGCGCTTTTGCTCATAATTTCACAGCTTAAAAAATTCAAGATCAGGTTTGGCACATCACAGTCTGTGCCACAGCTAACCCCTGGGCTGTTGCTGTTCTGCCTGTGAGCTAAGAAGAGTTTTCTGTTGTTTTGTTTTATAATTTTACATGTTTTTTAAGATTTTATTTTATTTATTTGAAAGGTGGAGTCACAGAGAGAGAGAGGAAGACAGAAAGGTTTTCTTTCTGCTGGCTCACTCCCCAAATGGCCACAGTGGCTGGTGCTGGGCTTATCTGAAGTCAGAAGCCAGGAGCTTCTTCCGGGTCTCCCACATGGGCACAGGGGCCCAAGGACGTAGGCCATCTTCCACTGCTTTCCAAGTGTATTAGCAGGGAGCTGGATTGGAAGAGGCACAGCCGGGACTTGAACTGGCGCTCATAGGGGATGCTGGCACTGCAGGTGGAGGCTTAGACTGCTATGCCACAATGCCGGCCTCCAATTTTACATGTTTAACAAAAAGAAGAAAATGTGCCAGACTACCAGTAGCCTGCAGAGCCCACAACAGTTCCTGCTGGCTCGTTATAGAAAAAGCTGCCTGGCCTCTGACCAGGTTTGCACAGCCTACAGGGTGTGTTCTGCAGTGTGTGGTATGTCTGTGTGCACCCACGATGACAGTGGCTGTGTTCACTGCTCCCAGACAGGAACCCCTGGGAAGGCTGGGCATCCTTTCCCCTCTGTCTCTTAGGCACCGTATCTCTGGTCAGTGCCTCAGCACAGAAGGCATTCAGTAAGCATTCACTGAAACATTACACTGAATTTTACACAAATCAGTCAGTTCTAGGCCACAAATAAAAACCTCAAAATCTAAAAAGGATGACTGAACTGGCCAGAGTGCAACGTAACTGTAGCAATGGTGATCTCTTGTAGCCATAACAACACGACCCTGGGGAGTGGGCACCTGCTACCGTGGTGAAGACGCCTCTCGGGACACCGGTGTGCCATACTGGAGAGCCTGGGTTGGAGTGGCTCTGCTTTCAATCTCAGCTCCTGCATAAGGTACGTTATGTCACAATGCAGATTACAAATGACACCATTTGCGTCAAAATTTTCTCTCTGCATTAAAAAGCCTGCCAAGGGGACAGGCGTTGGTGCAGTGGGTGAGACGCCTCTTGGGAGGCCTGCTCCCCATGTGGAGTGGGCTCAAGTCTGGGCTCCCCCTACTTCTGATCCATCTTCCTGCTAATGTGCACCCTTGTTGGTAGCAAGGGATGGCTCAGATACTTGGGCCCTTGACACCCACAAGGGAGATGCATGCAGATGGAGTTCCAGGTTCTTGGCCCAGCCCTGACTGTCATGGGCGTTTGGCGAGTGAACCAGCAGATAGAAGATCACTCTTTGGCTCTCTAATACAATGAAAATAAATAAACTTTAAAAAGTCTGTTAAGATTGAAAACTAATACTCATAGTAATCCATCTGAGAATTGAGGTACTTTCGCTTTCAGTAATTTTGGTTGAATTTTTTTCTTTTTATGAGAGATCATTTATTTTATTTATTTATTTTAAATATTTTATTTATTTATTTATTTGAGAGGTAGAGTTATAGACAGAGAGGGAGAGACAGAGACAGAGGTCTTCCATCCACTAGTTCACTCCCCAAATGGCCACAATGGCCGGAGCTAAGCCAATCTGAAGCCAGGAGCTTCTTCCAGGTCTCCCATGAGGGTGCAGGGGCCCAAGGATTTGGGTCATCTTCTATTGCTTTCCCAGGCCATAGCAGGGAGCTTGATGGGAAGTGGAGCAGCCAGGACTCCAACCAGCGCCCATATGGGATGCCGGCGCCACAGGCAGAGGATTAACCTACTGTGCCATAGCGCTGGCTCCTGATCATTTTGAGAAAAATGCATGTGAGATACATATTAAGGAGAATTTCTTTCATGCATGTTTCTTTATCACTGGACATCTTCCAGCACAATCTAAAGAAGATAAAATCTGATTTAGCATAGATTTACAAATTACTTCTCCTACATTCTGTGTGTCAGTGTTCTTTTACCATATCAAATCGCTATGTCTGAGAACTACCAGCTTAGTGTACATGACCAGATGGCTATATGTGAGACAGCATGGAATACGGTCATCATTCCAGGTCCACAGGTTTCACATCTGCAGATTCAATCAACTTCTGATAAAAAATGCACTTGGCCTACGGCGGCTGTGTCAGTACCAAGTACATACAAAATTTTTTGCCTCGTCATTATTCCCTGAACAATGCAGTATAGGAACTATTTACACAGCCTGTACATAACTAGGTGTTGTAAGTACCCAGAGGTGATTTAAAGGGTGTGGGAAAACATGCATAAGTTATACACAATATGATGTCATTTTATGGAAGGGCCTCGAGCACTGGTGGCGTCTGGTATCCTTGGGGGTCCTGGCACTTATCTCTCGTGCACACCCAGGGATGGCTGCATGTCTGGCGCGTGCTGGCACCAAGTAAGTCCAAAAGGCACGGGAAAGGCCTTCTGAAAGGGCAGACTCAGATGCAGGGCACGTTATAAAGAAATGAAGATCGGCTGGACAGGCCCACATTTTACATGGGTGTTCACTTATTTAACAGCCAGCTTGTTTCCCTCCTCAAGGTCACATGGGCAATGTTAAAAACGACTTCTCTGCCTGGGTCCCAGCACCAAGCAGGCCCGCCCGTGTGGAGGTGAGGCTCAGCAGGACCCAGAGCTGTCACACTGAGGAGCTTTCTCCTGCGAGCCAAGTGAGGGGATTTAAAGCCACAGCCATTGTTTGCTAATAACAGAGAGTGGAACTATTGGCTCATTTCCAAAAGGTGGCACATGGCTGTCACCTACTTGCAAGAGAGATAAATGGACCGTTCACATTCTGTGAGCTGAGCAGAGGCCCTTTGGAAGCAAAAGCCACAAAAGCGAAGGCAGAAGGCAACGGCAAAGGTCATAACGGCAAGTGACTGAGCCACCATCCAGGCCTCGGGATTGTGGCCTTGTATGGCCTGTGCCAAGGAGCGCTTACCTGTTGAAAATCGCCTGTAGGTACTCCTCGAACCGGCGAAGCACTTTGGGAGGGGTGGGCCACTTCACGTGCTTCCCATAGTCTCTCATCGTCCGGACACCGTGGAAACGGCTGGCCACCTCGTGGATATAGGACTTGACTTTGTAGCGCCGGTAGTACCTGAGTATCGTCAGAGCTGCCTTGGTCCTCCTGTACCGCATGCGGGCCAGGGTGCCCCGCCACACCTGTGCAGCAGAGAGAAAGAAAATGTTGACTGGTTGGCTCTGTGGTGGATGACTGACGTGAGGGAAGCCTCTCGGACGCACTCAGCAGGGCCTGGCAGCTCTACCTGCCACCAACAGATGGCGCGAGGAGGCACAGCGATCACTGGGTTCCCACTGTCCACCTGCTCCTTGCACTACCCACAAGCGTGCACTGTTTGAAGTAGAGTCCTGGGTTAGCTTTCACTGTCAGGAAAAGAAGAAAGCCAAACTGCAAACGTCTTTGGATAAACTTTTTAGGAATGGTGAAGGAAAGCAAGAGGAGCCAGGATCAAATGCCACAGACACAGGCAGTTCTCCTGTGGAGCCTGCCGTGACACGGGACACACACACCAGCCCCTAGAGAAAGGTCACGTGGAGTCGCGCTGTGCGGCCCCTTCCCCAGGCAGGGCATCAACTCCCAAGAACTGAGACGCATTCCTGGGGAAAGCCTAAGAGGGATCGCCAAGATCACACGGATCTTTGCTACCCGTTTTCAGGGTCCAGAAACCAATCAGACAACATATTAACATCTCCCCGTTGGCTTCATCTAAGCTTGACAAGACACTAACACTTCTTCGGGCTCTTTGGTCCAGGTGTCACTTTTCTCGACCTCTCTGGCAAGATGGAATTGATGTCACCTTCCGCCTGTCACTGCCCCTCCCCCCCTGAACTGGCTTTCTCCCAGGATTCCCTCCAGCAGAGACCCTGCTGCGCACACTGCTTGCGTCCCTGGGGAGGTGTGTGCACAGTCCCGGTCACACTCCAGTGGATGCCGATGCTGCTACCTAAACTCCTGCATCATTCCCCTTCCTTGTCCCTGGACTTTTAGGGCCCAGATTCTCAGCCTCCCAACCCCAGTCCTCAGTGTGGCTCCTCCAGACTCCCTCAGGTCTCTTTCATTTCTTAGATCTCCATCTGTGCTCATCGACTGCCCTTGCAAAGGCTCGAGCCTCTTTGCGCAGTTGTTGGAGGTTCATCTTCATGCAGGCTCCTGCGTGTGCACCACGTGCCTGCTCTGTGCTTCCTTCCAGCCTGCTGCGCAGTCAACACGGATCTGGCTGCAGGCAACACATAAGGGAAGCCTGGCACATATGCCATCTGTGATGGGGTCTGCAGCTTGCCTCTACCCAGAAGATTTAAAAACCACTAGGCAATGAAAACGACCTCATCTCCCGTGCCTGAGCACAGCGACCGTTTTTAGTGGGCATGGCTCTCTTCCTTGCGGCGGATCCATCCCACAGATGGCTTTGTGACGCCTCCACCCAAGTGCTAAAATAAAGGTCCCTTCTTTAGTATCTTGAAAACCCAAAAGAATACAATTAGAGGGGGGAAGTAAGTATGTGGTTCAATTCCTTTGACAACACACAGTTTTAAAGTTTCGTACTGTTTGTGGCTGCCTCTCTCTCTCTCTCTTTTTAAGGGGAAGGGAAGAATTAAGATTCCATGGAACCACATCTATATAGAAAATCAATCTTTAATTTTCAATAAGTGTTTTGTAGAGCTTCTTTTAAAAATGTTTTTGGTTAGGTTCTTAAGTAATTTTTAAAAAAACAATCTTATACATGCTTTTTAATGCAACTTTGGGGCAACTGTTCACATTTCATCTGTGTTGTTAGTTCACTTTGATTTTGTGTATTTGAAAAAAATAAGAGTATAAAAACGCTTATAACAGAAAATAGCCTATTCCCTTGCCCACCCAAACCAACCACCCTGCTCACATCTGATTCCATGCAAAGTATTCTAGCTGCATCTTCTGTTACTGACTGTCACTTTCATAAATGATACACAGAATGTGATTTTTGGTTGATTCTTTGGGATACTGTCCAAATTATAGAAGGTGGAGATTTGGCTCTCACACCATCATTTTTGTCTATCGTCCCAGCAGTGGTTACATCAAAACTTGTAAGTCAATAGTGTTTACATTCCATACAATAACCACATCATATGCATAGTGAATAACTGACATAATACATATATACACATGTGTATTATATTATATATCATATAAATTTGGCTCATCACTTTGCTAAGGGGTTTACTTATTTTTCCTTTGCTTTATCATGTAGATTTGTTTTTACCTGTTAATAACCATCTTGTTTAAAAAAATCTGCTTCAGTTTCCTTGTACCTACTGCTGTTTTTTGCCAGCTGCTCTTACAGCGCCATCAAATGATCAGCAATACTTTTCTCCAAGTGGCCAGTGTATTGGCTGAACCTTTTTCTTTGATATTGCTTATTTCCTTGTGCCTTGAGATCTGCCGCAGAGTTCCTATCCTGGGGCTTCTTGAGCTACTCTACTCTCCTATGTTGGATCCATGATTTCTGGTTGTTCTTCCCTCTTGTAGCTTCCAAGAACAGGTGCACAGCTAGTACATTCTGTCCTCTTTCATGTCCTGGAGAGTACAAGTAGTTGCCTACATTGTTGCCTGCCTCTGCAGAGGAGTACAGGAACAGAGCAGCTGGGAACAGGCTCTGGACACAGAGGCCTGAGTTCAAACCCTGGTCCCCTCCTTGAGGGCAGGGTAGACTTGGGTGAGCTTTGTAACCTCTCCATGCCTTGGTTTTCCTATTTGCAAAATGAGGAGGACAGTGGAGATTGCCTTATAGTACTGTTGTATTAGTGGAGTTGATACACATAGAACAGAAAGATGCTTGGTGTGTGGTCAGAGTGCCGTAGGCAGGAATTGTTATGACTCTTTGGAAGCCTAGTCTTCATCTTTAGTAGGCTGTGCTATTTTCTTCTTCTCCCTCTCCTCCTTCTTTTTTAAAAAGATTTATTTATTTGTTTGAAAGGCAGAGTTACAGAGAGGCAGAGGCAGAGGCAGAGAGAAAGAGGTCTTCCATCCACTGGTTCACTCCCCAGATGGCCACAATAGCTGGAGCTGGGCTGATCTGAAGCCAGGAGCCAGGAGCTTCCTCCGGGTCTCCCATGAGGGTGCAGGGGCCAAGGACTTGGCCATCCTCCACTGCTTTCCCAGTCCATAGCAGAGAGCTGGATTGGAAGTGGAGCAGCCAGGACTCAAACCAGCGCTGCAGGTGGTGGCTTTAACCTCTGCCATAGCACTGGTCCCTGTTTTATTCACTTTTAATGCAGATTGGATGGCCATGGATTAGAGGCTTTATCTAGTCTTCCAGCTGCCCTGGAGGAGTGGAGAGGGAGCTGCCATTGAGGCTGTTCCTTAGTTCTGAGAACAAAAACAGGGTGTGCTGTGGGTTCTACTCCCATGTCCAGGGGAACCTTCTCTTGGTTCGGCTATAATGATGGCTGCCAGTAGGTGCTTTCCCCATTCCCTGCCCACTGATGGATAAATCAGAGGCAGGAAAGATGGGAAACCTCGCTGACTCTTCTCCCTGGGGAAGCAAGGATCCCCGGGGTGTGTATGTGGGGGTATTCCAGGCCTTCCTTCCAGAACATTTCAGGCTGATTCTCAGATGCCCTGCGGTACTGCTCCACATCTTAGTCTCCAATTTGGTCCACTCTCCTTTTCCTGAGTGACCTTTCTCAAAGTGTATAGTAGGAAGTTGGAATCTTGGTTTTATTTTTATTTTGATTTTCTTTTTGGTTTCAGGATGGATGGCATGTTCTTTGAGGTTTTTACATTTGATATTTGTTAATCTCATGCAGTTTGGCAGGGAGTTGGGGGGTATTTTTGTGAGCCTGCAACTGTATCATTGATTCATCAGAAGTCCCTTGAGCTTTACTTATTTAGTTTTTAACATCACAGAGTATCACTGAAAAACTAAAGAGGAAAAGGATTCTTTGGGAAGAAGGATTTATGTATTTTTCCTAATCATCTAAGCATAGCTGGTTTTAGTAGGTTATACTTTCATAAAGTCATGTGTACTTGTTGGGGGAGGGTTGTTGTTGATTTTCCCACCCAGGGTCTGCAGGCTGGAATTTAAGGTATAAGGAAGAATTTTCAATCCTTCACTTCCCCATTCCCCCACCCCCTTTTTTTTTGAGGAAGGGAAACAGACAGAGACAGAGAGGCAGACAGATAGAACTCCTATTTGCTGGTTCACTTCCCAAATGCTCACAACAGCCAGGGCTGGGCCAGGCTGAACCAGGGGCTGAGACTCACACCAGGCCTTTCCATAAATGGCGGGGACCCAACTCCTTGAGCATTCCAGGGTGTGCATTAGCAGGAAGCTAGGATAGGGACTGGAGCTGGGACATGCAGTGCCTTAACTGTCTCATCAATTGTCTACACCCGCCCCACCCCCTGCTTTGGTTAAAACAGCTTCAATGGCTGGGTTTTTCAAAAGCCACATAAAGCTTACCTCAGGAGATGACTGTGTGAGGACAGTATTTTAGAAAGCAAAATGCAATGTTATGTTCAAAAAACAAACAAACGCTTAGAACTCTTTTGCATACACCTAAGGGGTTCAACCAACAACACGGGAGCCAAAAGGGGCCCAAGGTGAGATAATATTAACACTGTAAATGAATGGCTGGTGCTGTGGCGCAGCGGGTGCAGCTAGTGCTGGTTCAAGTCCCAGCTGCTCCACTTCCAATCCAGTGCTCTCTTAATATGCCTTGGAAGGCAGCGGAGGATGGCCCAAGTGATTGGGCCTTTGTACCCATGCGGGAGACCCAGAAGAAGCTTCTGGCTCCTGGCTCTGGCCTGGGAGCCCTGGGCTGTTACGGCCATGGGGAGTGTACCAGCAGATGGAAGATTCTCTAACTGTGCCTTTCAAATAAATAAAAAATAATCTTTTAAAAAAAGTTACATGGAAACAGCCAGGTGGTGTGTGTGCTATAGGATAGGAACCTGAGAGGGGGCGGAGCTGAGGGAGGGGTGCATCCCGGGCCCCAAGGTGTAGGGAAGTGCAGGGCACAAGAGGGCGAGCAGCCACCAGACAGAAGGGCAGGCGCACACAGCACTGGAGGGCACAGCTGAGGTCCAGGCAGAGAAGCTGGAGAAGCCTTGCATACCCCTTGCTACTGAGAGGCCATGCTCACACGGAAGCCAGAGCAAGCCT